TGGTCGTCTATTGAGAATATCAAAGTCATCTGTGAATTTGGTGGCTACTTCCAGAAGGAAAACAAACGAGATTCACATGGGGATTCACCATCAATCAGATAGTTTTTCTGAGAAGACAAACATGACTGCAGAGATCTGTTCTACCTCAATGAACGTTCATACTGTTTCAAATCTGAAGAAGAATAACTCACTTAGAAGATCACCCTTGAACTTGGAATCAAGAAAAGTTGATCTAAGTGAGAAACTATCTTCCTGCAAAAGGTTTCGTAAGCATAGATCCATTTTTAGGAGTGGCAGAAGTGGAGCAGAATTTCAATCTACAGCCAGTGGACTGCATGGTTCCGGTGTCGATATTTTAGGAACAAGGGAATCCCCAGGATCTTGTGAACTTGATCATTCAAAGAGTGTCACAGTATCTAGAGTGAGAGAAATGATGAATTCGGAATCTCCAAGCAGGAAAGATCTTCCAGAGTCCACGGAAAGAGATGACAGAAGCACCACAGAAGAGTGGAAAAACAGTACACTGAAGAAGCCATGGCCTGGAACTGAATGCACTGGTCCTGATGTTCAAAACCTAGATATGCAAGTGGAGGTCTTGGGCAATGAAAATTATGTCAGTGAACCTTCGACAAGGGTGAATTCTGGTAATCCTCTTTCTAATGACACTGTGACTTCAGAAAACCTGCAAGCAGCCTGTGGTTCTAAATTAGAGCCTCCTCCATTGGTTGAACATGTTCAGTCTACGTCCAAAAGTGAAGTCCATGTGGAACGATTTGTACAAAGATCTGAGAAGCAAGAGTTGAGCTGTGGTGACATATCCAGACAAGAGAATAATGGCCACAATATCCAAATAGCAGATAAGATGGAACTCACAAGGGGGAAAGACACCTGTGTAGTTTATCCTACAAATTGTACAGTTGACACCATGTCCATCCAGGATTCTAGTGGTTGTTTGACTAGTCATGGGGATATGGAGTCTGAAATACCCGAAAAGAGCACATCAATAACCTCAGTTAGAACAATTGAAAAGGGTGCTATGAATCTGGCTAGTGACAATGAACCATGTGGATCACCTGTCTCAACTGCCTCTACCATATCTCTTCCTTCTCCAAAAAATTCCAATTGTCTAGATTCAGTGGCTGAACCATTTGCAAGTGCTATTAATGCTCAAGATAAGTTTGGTTCAGTAGTACCAATTACTGAAAACACCATAGTAGTAGCTGAAGGAAGAGATAATGAGAGAAAGAATCAAGAACTCAAGGTGAATCTGCCAGCAAATGAACCTGATCGCTCAGTGGATGACAAACCTTTCTGTTGGTCGTGTAGGGAGAGCCTTTCAAGAGATTCTCAATTGTTAAGACAAAGTACTACACTCAGGACAGCCAGGGGAAAGCAGGTCTCCAACTTATTTGCCAGGCCAAGAGTCTCTTCTTCATTTAGCTCGTATCAGAATTGTAAATCTAATAACATGGTCAGCTCCGGCTTGCAACCATCTGCTCTATCTACTTCTGCAGGTAAGGTTCCAACTTGCAGTGACTTGGGTTCTGGTACCCCATCATCTCATTCGGAGAACCAGTCAAACTCCAACCCGATACTTAGGTTGATGGGTAAGAATTTGATGGTGGGGAACAACGAAGAGTTTGTGCGACCTCAAAGTGCAGTTTTGGACTATGCACCACGAGCAACCATCTTGTCTTCTCTTGGATATGCTTCAACCAACAATCTCTTGGAGCAGGAGAATTTTCGATGCCATCACCAGATTTTTGGTGGCTCTGCTGCCTTTGATCCAGCTGTATCAATGGGTGGGCACCAGTTTCCTGTGTTCATGCTGCCAAGCACCCGAGTGGCTGGTTTTTCAGTGACACCCCTGCACACTGCTTTTGTGCCAAGACCTGATCGGCAGACTCAACAAAAGAATGGTTACAGAAGGCCCAACACCTCTCAAGCGTCTCATATGATGAATGAGGTGATTGTGATCGATGACTCTCCCGAAACTGATAATAAACCAGTTACTAGTCTAAGAAGTCCAACAAGTACTTTGCCTTTTGCTACTTCAGGATTGAATCATTTGTCTCAAAGACCGATGTCCTACTTTTCCTCACGAAGCCACATTCGGGATCTTCCTGGTGGTCCGAGACACTTGTTACCGAATCCGTACACTGGGGTCAATGCTAGTTTGATGAAGCGAGGTGGCACTTTGGAAGGCCACAGCGGTCTACCGCCTGGCCCCTTTGTGTTCCAATCTGCTACAACAGCTCACATGAGGCCATCAGTGTGTTACTCTCGGACCCTGCGCTGATCCTACCTGTACAAAGTGCTTGTGGAATATGTTTCTTCTCCAGTTCTGCTCTGCAGCCATCTCTGCCTGATCCAATGAAACAGCAGGCACCAAGAAAGGTCTGTCTTGAAGCTGAGGTTACCTTGTCTCAGACTTCTTGATATATAGGTCTTCTTAATAACTGTGAAACATCCATCAGAACAAAAAGAATGAAACTTGTATAAGAATCTGACTGTTAGAGTTCTGAAGTGGGTTGTGTATCAAAAATTGATGTTTTAAAGACCTTGTTGGCTGCAACAGAAATCCTTTCCTTCAACATCTCAATAATCCATGCATCTAAATCATCTTTTAATTATGGCAATATGTTTTCTTCAAATTGTCATTCCGGTTCACATATATAATTTGTGCTGAATATTTGTGGAGGATTCTGCAGGTTTTACACTTCTTTTCTATTCCAGAATGATGTTATGAAATAATCAAAATTTGTAGGATGTGTGAAATATTATGTGGCAATAAGCAGTTCTAATACTTGCTTGACCTTTTGTGCATGCTACTTCACTGGTGGTTCTATCAGAAGTGATGCAGTCAAAATCTCTTTTGCTCTCTATGTTATCCAATTAAGATTTGCTGCCTCTATAGGCATTGTCAGTGCATACACATTGGAAATGCAATTGCTTACCTACATATTATCGAGTTCACCAAAGTGAATGAATCAATCCGAACGGCAAAATAGAACCGCTTGCCTGATTGCATTATATACTCCATTACTAATTAACGTGTTCAGAGGATTTGAAGTACTCGCATGATCCTTCGTTCTAGTGATCCCATTGCATGTTGTAATGTTAACATTAGGAGAGACACATGAAAACATTCGTAGATTCCACTGTCACATGAAATATAGCCGTTGCATAAGCTTCAGTTTTTTGCATGAACAGTAAGAAGGTAAGCTAACAGGCAGGAGAGAGAGAGAGAGAGAGACAGAGGAGAGAGAGAGAGGCTATGAAAAGTAGCAGCCGTTGATGAAGAAAAGGTTGGTGGCAAGGCGACGAGAAGTTCTTGTGATGTCACTGATCCTGAGGGCAAGCAAAGCAGTGCGCGGCGTAGAAGACACGCAAAAAGCTGTCGCCCAGTCGGATCATGGCGTCGCTCGCATGTGAGATCCATCAGCCAGTGACAGGCGTGGCGATTGGAATGGGGGGAGATGTGGCAAGTTGTGTCGGCTATCTCTGCTTTTTATCTCTTTCTTCCTCCGCTTGTGATGCAGCTCGGCGTTATTAATGGAAGGAATGGGCATCGAGGAGCGTGCATTGCATGGAGAAAGAGAGACAACGCTCATCGGTAACGTTTAGACTCCTCGGGATTCGCGTGCCCGACGCCTGCCCCTTTCTCTCTCTCTCTCTCTCTCTCTCTCACTCTCTCTCAAGTCACATCTACCATGTTCTACAGTCAAAGTCCGCACTGTTTACATGAGACCAAGTACAGATGCCTAAGTTGGAAGCTACGTGCAGGAGGGATTTGGATAGATGAGCACAAGAGATAGAGATGGCTTCAGTGATGAAGGAGCTTGAGGCTTGTCGAGATGTTGTTGTGCGCAGGGTTAGCCAAGTGATGAAGGAGGTTCTGGAATGGCCTAACTCCTGTCACCAGAGCCTGGACGAAGTAGCCCAGGATGGCCAGCATCGCCAGCCTCCCGCTCTTCACCTCCTTCAGCTTCAGCTCTCCTTCATGGACCTGAAGCCAAGAGGGTTGAAGAGCGGTCCTCCGGGGTAGGCAGGGTCGCCTGATCCATACTGCTTTCCCATGGAACCCGTCTTTTTCGCCGAGTCCTGGAATCTCCGGTGCTCCGGGAAACCCCATGAGCACCATTTCCAGCACGAAGTGGGTGTAAGGGTCGGCCCAGTAGTTGTAAGACGTCCCCGTGGGTGGAGTGACACCGGTCTTGAACCATGGAAGAGCGGTCTCAGGTGGCATGGCACCTGCTGCGCCGAGCATGGCAAACGTGCCGTTGATGATGATCTCGCCGTAGGTTAGCCATCTGGACTCGATGAACCCTCCGGTGCCTTCAAAGGTTAGCCACAAGGACGGAGGTTATTCTGCCATTCATTTGCAGCTTGTTGATTTCACGTGATGGTGGATTAGCTCTCCAATGAACTCAGGGCTTCCTCAGTCCTTGACAACAGGGATTTTGGATACATACTCTTCGAACTCCAAAGGAGATGTAGTATCCATTACCACTTCGATCTTCGATGATACCCCATCACAAGTAGAAGACTTGCCACCATTACTACTTCGAATCACCTTACCATCTACCTCATTGCTGTATCATTCGTTCTTTCCTTACTCTGGTTGATCCATCCATTTGCAGCTTCACTCTTTGCGCTCTTTATGAACCCAATGCTTTGTTCACAGTGTGCTACTTGAATCGACTTGTAAGGATTCAATGGGTATACACTATAATTAAACTAAGCTTATACATTTTACGTCAATGATTTAGGCCTAGAAGCAAATCATAGCACAAAGTCATTGATGATTTTGGATTATGTTTGTGATTGACGAGAACGATAAACCCTGAATCGAAGGAAATTGAAGTATCTCAGACTTATTACGAAGGATTGTCAAGTCCACAAGAAATAGCAAGCCCCTTGCTGATTTACTCAGTTAATATGTAGCGGAAATCCACTATTTGGTGTCATTCTCAAGATCTTGCATATGAAGAAGAAGAAGAAGAAGAAACAAAGCTAGCAATTTTCCATTGATTAGAAAGAAATGCATCACCACCACGACCACACCACATGTTTAACTTCCCATCTTCACACCCCCAAACGATCGATCATGAGAGCAAAATGTACAACCAGAAGCGTTCTTACATGATTCAACAGCGACACCCTCAACCAAAGAACTTGGGGTCGTACCCATTGCTGGAGGTGGCAAGGATGTAGTAGGCGACGATGTGGCCGATGGATCCCCATGCAAGCACGTCCACGATGTTGAACCCCACGGGGTCGTTGGACTTGAGCAGACCCACGTACTCCTTCGCCTGGGTGTCGCCGGCCTCGAAGTGCGTCACGCCGTTCTGCTCCGGCAGGCCCTGCTTCGCCACATTCTCGCGCTGGAAGTTGAAGAAGACGAACCTGCCCAGGAAGAGGGAGAGGCCGGTGCTGAGGCTGATGACCAGCGACGGGTTCAGTTCGGCCCGGATCCCACCTGGCTTGCGGACGGGACGTACCGGTTTGATGGAGATGGCTCGGGTTTGGGGGAACTGGGAGGAGTCGGTGGGCTTCAGGGGGCGGAGGCCACGGAAGGAGGTGGAGGGGGCGAGGATGCTGCCCTTTTGCATGGAATAGGTGAAGAGAGTGGAAGTAGCCATCGTGTCCTGGTTCTTCTTCCTGAGAGAGAGAGAGAGAGAGAGAGAGAGAGAGAGAGAGACAGAGACAGAGAGAGGGCGAAGGGGTAATAGTGGAGATGGGAGTCGGATAGCGTGAAAGATATGAAGATTCTGATGGAGGACAACTAGGATTGTTGTGGTGGCGGAGAGAGGGTTCGTGAGGAGGAGGATGAACGAGGAGGGAGGCGAAGATCCGAGGAGAGATGAGGTGGGCGGACGCTATTGGCCGATGGCGGATAGCATATCTAGATCACAACCCACTAGAGACTAGATTCCTAGAAGCAAAATGACTTCTCTATCCTTATCTGGTGCTAAGCTCACCAGTGTGATTACATTTAGATAGGAAAGTAAAATATTTAATCATATATTTTCATCATATTTCTTCTCATACGGTCGATTCCTTCAATAAAAATACTAAAATATTTAATTATAAAATATCATACATATTTAGTGGTAAATTAAACTGAGATAGAATCAAATACATGTGATATTTTCGAAACAAAATCGATGACATAAAAAAAAATATTTTATTTTTAATATAAATTTTAAAATTATAAAGATCAAAATGCTAAAAAAAATATAACTAATTATAGTGAATAATCTATAATTAAACATATTTTACTATCATTCTTTTTTTTTAGATTAAAATTAAAGACACATTTGAAATACTAGGAAGATTGAAGTTTTTTTCTTAAGGTTTTATTAGTGCTTCAATAACACCATAATCAGCTTTTTTGAACCCTAATAATTCACATCATAAGCATATTGATTTCAGATTATTATATTTCAAGAGCCAGGTCATACAAACTATAAAACTCGAAAAAACCGACTCATTAACTTGATGAACATGAATCATTGATTTAATAAGAGATCCATCTAATCATATAAACCAACTCAAACCTCTTCCCATGTTGGATAGGAGATTAAAGTAGGATGTCACAGCAACAATTACACCTGAGGTCGCCCCTGGCAAAGATGATGGACTAATCTTATTACACAAGCAAGAAAGATCGGAAACGATGATATGTAAGAACCACTCAAAAGTTCTAAAAGAGAAGGCCTCAAGCACAGTTCGAGAGCTTAGCTTGATGCTTCTTTGTCTTTTGTCTTTATCTCATGCTGTCCCTAAGCATCTGTACATTTCTTCAAACACTTCCAACAAATTTATTCATATCAAGCATGATTCTCGTTGCCTTTTGACGCCAAGCGACGAAAGAAGGATGCATCTGAAGGCCCCCATTCTCTATTTGGGGCAGTAGTATATCACACAGTCACAACACTTGACACTGCTATTTGTTCATATCAAAGCAGTGAATCGAGGTACGAGTAGTTCCTGCGACGGTTGTACTGCAGCAAACTCCCATAGGTGCGATCCCATACGCCGACAAACAGAGCCTCCGTGTCGGGACTGAATGATATGCCAGAGATTTCACCAAAGAAGTCCAGCTCCTGCTGCTTGTTGTACCCACTTCCGACGTCAAAGACATGAACAAAGTCTGCAGGTTCGGCCATTGCCATAAATCGTCCATCAGACGTGAAGCGGATCGATCTTATGGCGCCGAGATTGCCTCTCAATGCAGCAACAGATTTGGAGAGATTCCTAATGTCCCAAACTCGGCAGGTTTTATCCTGGTTGCCAGTGGCAAAGGTAAAGCCATCCGGATGCCAGGCTGAAGCAAAAGAGAAGTCGATGTGACCCTGCAATTCATGCACAGTCTGCAAGAATACACCAAAAAAACTCATTTTTCTGTTTCATTTTCCAAGGAGGACGTAAATCTGGTAGGGTGTTAAAACCAAATTCTCTAGGTCAGGTTTTAAACTGATTGCTGTTACCGTTTTCTCAACTTACGAGACCAGCAGTCACATCCTACTCACCTTTCCGGTATGAGAATCAACCAAAACTCCTTCAGGGTTGTCTCCCACGATGACAAGAAGCTTTCCATCGGGACTTAGTGATGTGTGCTGCAAAAGTTAAAGCAGGTAAGGAAGCCTCAACTAGTTCAACCCAATGTTGATTAGTTCCTGATACAACACCCAGCATGGAGTACATGAACAAGCAATGATTCAACTAATGAGGAAGTATATCACAGCAGCAAAATAGCTAAAATTTGGCACTTTCACTTCTTGAATTACTACTGAATAGTTTCATTATTGAATTAACAAATTCCAAACTAACGCTTAAATAACTTTAACTTACAATTTATCCATTTAAGATTAGCTACTGAATGAAAAAAAGAAGATCCAACCTACAATAATGAGCTAAAATGCAGATAGCTTACATTCACAGGCCATGGGAATGGGAAATGCTTGCAAAGCTGAAACTTCTCCATGTCAAAATCTCGAACTCCACAGTCATTATTTGAAGCCATAAAGTGAACAGCACCACTAAATAAATTTCAATATTAAGTCAAACAAGCAACAGAAAAAAATTAAATGGCCAAAGTAATCAGGTACCTGGGACTGTTATAAATTTCAACTGCGTTAGTTATTGCATTGTCTTCGTATGTTGTCCGGCAACAAAAACTGATTCCTTCTCGATCTAAATACTACATTCCATAACAAAATGACAAACAATCAAATGACCACACATCCCAAATAACAACAGTGTCTATATGGCAGGTAATTTATCTGAAGGCAACTATAATTAGTTTGTAAAAATCTTAAAAAACAAAGGTTTTAGAAATTTTAATCTGATCTAGCAAATCTCTAATAAGACCAAATACTTGCAACAGCATTGACAACAAAAAAGGGCCTAAAGACAAACTAAGGATATAACAAACTAACTGCTGTTTCAATGATAGTATCCAAAATCATAGTTGCCAAAGCCCAGTTGCATAATTTAATAAAATAGAACACAATAAGAAGGATAAGCATCTCAAATCAAATCAAGTAGTACTAGGTGTACAATACAAGTCTTAAGAGTAATTATGCCAAACTGTCACGAACGGTCGTCGCGCACCCGCAACAATTTCGTTCAACGAACCGTTCGTCGCTTTTGCATGCTTGTACCGAGACATGGTAGTATGTTTTGCCTTAGTTTTGTGTGTTTTTGCTTGTAAAAATGCATGTTCGAATAGGTTGCAGCGCTGCAATGTGATCGCTCACCGCACCGGGCCGAACTGCCCAAAACAACTCCGTTTTCGCGTGCCACGGCTTGTTTTCTGCAAGCTGCAGCTGCACGCGAAACGTCAGCCTTCTCAGCACCCTGGAACCCCCCGAGTGGCACAGGGCTGGATGGGACTTCGGTATATTGTCGGGTGTTGAAAAATCTTCACAAGTTCGCACGTTAACTTAACGGGAACATGCTTTCGCGCCTGGCACTCGGTGAGCAGTTGTTTGTGGACTTGCAACTGTTCGTTCTACCTTCTAAAGTCCTTGTTTTCCTCCTTCCCCTCTTTTCTCTTATGCACGCAAGGTGCTTATTGAATTGCTTGTAAAGCTTCCCTTTCCGCGAGACGTCGAGACTTGTCCGTCATTCGTTTTCAAACTAATCAACTTTCTCTTTTACAGGTCCTTCGAGACCTAAGTGAGGTTGCAAATTGGCTGACCCTTTGCAGACGCATATCGTAAGGGTGCGCCACGACTTAGGCAATCCCAACTAAGTTCGAGAAGTTGGCGCGAGGGTGCTTCGCGACTTAGGCAACTGAAGCTAAGTTCGCGTCTTTGCCCCAAAAGTGCCTCACGACTTAGGCAATTCTAGCTAAAGTCCGTGACATTGTGGTATCAGAGCGGACAAGCAATTCGAGCAAGCAGCGAAGGTACTTCGCAATCTCGCCATAACAAAGCATCGTGGTGAATCAAGCAAGACGGGGCAAGCCGGACCCTTGCCCCAAGCAGCCGCAGGTGGGCTGCAAGTGTATACTCGCTCTCATGTTGTTGGAGCTGCTCAGGAGGAGCGCGGCAGCGAAAATGATGAGCGAGAAGTTGGCTACTCTCCGCGAGCGTTGGAGGCGCAATCTGAAGCGCTAATCGGGAAAAATAGTCATAAGGAGAGACTCATAGCAGAGGAAACCCGCTTGGATGTTCTTGAAGCGAGCTTGGAGAAACTCTAGCAGGGCCAACGAAGGCTTCTTGGGGTAGAGAGCTCGCAAGAAGAAGCTGAATCCCGGATCGACAAGGTTGAGGCCCTAACCGATCGACTATCAGATGACACCAAAGACTCTTTGCAACATCTGCACGAAATCGTGGCGGAACTCACTTCCAAAGTAACTATGCTCACAAAGGCACTAAATGCGGGAGGGAGCAACACCCGCGTTGCGCCACCACAAAACTTGAGAGCACTCGAGCCGCATTGTTATGGGAGTGCCAGAGGTGCTAAAGAGCTCGAGAATTTCCTGTTCGACTTGGAACAATACTTTCGAGCTATGAGGCCTGATTCTGAAGAAACCAAAGTTTCGATAGCAACCATGTATTTGAATGGGGATGCAAAACTTTGGTAGCGACCCCGTTGGGAGGAGATCCAACAAGGTCGGTGTCGGGTGGACACATCAGAGGACTTAAAGCGAGAGTTGAGAACTCAGTTCCTGCCCGAGAACATAGAGTTTGTCGCAAGGAGGAAACTGAGACAACTCTGCCAAAGCATTTCCATTCGAGACTACGTGAAGCAATTTTCTACACTAATGCTGGACATACAAGACATGTCCGAGAAGGATAAACTATTCAGCTTCCTCGATGGTTTGAAGCCATGGGCTCAACAAGAACTGCATCGAAGGAATATCACCGATGTGATCGAGGCAATTGCGGTCGCAGAAAGGCTCACGGACTTTGTTTCCTCTGAGGACTCAGGAAAAAGGAAACAAGCTTCAGGAAATCGCTCTCCAAAATATTTTCGAGGGAAGGAGCCCGGGGGCAAACAAAGGAAGAAAAGTTCTCACAAAGGGTCAAGCTCAAAAGACAAAGCCCCAAAACTTGACGGATGCTTCTTGTGTGGAGGGCCGCACATGGTGAGGGAGTGCCCACAAAAACAACCACTCAATGCTTTAACAACTTCAATCCACCCCCCCAAATCAGACAAGGGCAAGGCCGTCGCCCTCAGTTCAAGCAGTTAAGAATCCAGTAGCAACGATGAGGAGTCGCAAGGTCCCCGAATTGTCATGGACTTAGCTGGTTTTGCCTAAGTCGTGCGATACCCTTGCGTGCCCGTCCACAAAGGTCAGCCTCCCCGAAACCTCCCATGGTGCCTTAGGACCTATAAAAGAGAAAACGGGTTAGAGAAAGCGTCTCACTCGGGATCCACAAGTAAATATTTTTTAAAACACTTCATAGCCAGTGCAAATTACAAACAGACTTTACAAGCTCTGAACGGTTGCACAACAAAGGGTCAAAATGGTCCACTACAGACTAAGTATTTCTCACAAGTATCCACATGACACAACCTTTATTTACAAACCTAAATCGGCCACCAAACCCAACTAAAATGGGGCTGTTAAGCCTTCGACCATTCCTCTACATGCTGTGCAGAGCATGAATAAACTAAAAGACACGGACATACATAAGCATTACATCAAACATCTTGTTTAGAATTTTATCCGTGATAGAATAGAAGCAATGCATTTGTTGATTGCATTGCGGGGTCAAGTGAGGAAGAACATAAAGGCAAAGTCATTGAAAGCATGGAGTAACGAGCTGATGTACGTGGACATTAAGCTTAATGGCCAAACAACCCGTGCAATGGTGGACACGAGCGCTACCCACAACTTTATTGCCGATTGAGAAGCAAAGCGACTTGGGCTGATCTTGGAGAAGAACCCAAGTCGGATGAAGGTGGTGAACTCAGAGGCCAAGCGGATCTTCGAGCTGGCAAAGGGTGTCCCCATCAAGATTGGAACATGGAGCGGGAGCACGAACATGATGGCGGTGCCATTGGATGACTTCCAAGTGATTCTTAGAATAGAGTTTATGCACGCGGCGAAGTTGGTGCCAATGTCGTTCCTAAACTCCCTATGTATGATGGGAGGTGATGACCCTTGTGTGGTTCACGTCTCTCGGAGAGGAACCAGGGACCCCCAACAAATATCGGCATTACAACTGAAGAAAGAGGTATAAAAAGACGAATTAACATTCGTGGCTGTTGTGAAGCTAAAGCCACTCAACGATGAAGTTATTCATGAACCTGTTGTGGTGGCGAACGTTCTGAAGCAATTCACAGACGTTATGCCACCCGAGTTGCCGAAGACTCTGCCGCCACGCAGAAGCATGGATCATAATATCGAGTTGGAGCTAGGAGTGCAGCCTCCAGTAAAACCACCCTACCGCATGTCCCCTCCAGAGCTGGTAGAGCTCAAAAAGTAGTTAGATGAACTACTAAGCGGTGGTCTCATCTGTAGTTCTAAAGTATCATTCAGAGCTCCAGTTCTCTTCCAAAAGAAACAAGATGAGAGCCTCCGACTATGCCTCGATTATCGAGCCCTCAATAAAGTGACGATGAAGAACAAGTATCCCATCCCGCTCATCGCGGACTTGTTCGACCAATTGGGCAAAGCCAAGTATTTCTCCAAACTCAACCTCCGGTCGAGGTACTGACAGGTGCACATTGTTGAAGGCGACGAAGCGAAGACAACCTGCGTGACCAGGTATGGAGCGTTTGAGTTTTTGGTGATGCCTTTTGGCTTAACCAACGCTTCGGCCACGTTCTGCACTCTTATGAACCAACTATTCAAAGAGTATTTGGATAAGTTTATGGTCGTCTACTTGGACGATATCGTCGTCTACAGCCAAACGCTCAAGGAGCATGTCGAGCACCTTCGGACAATTTTCAAGGTTCTTAGGGAGAACACTTTGTTCGTGAAACGAGAGAAGTGTTACTTTGCTCAAACAGAGATCTTATTCTTGGGGCATCGAATCAGTGATGGCTCCATTCGGATGGACAAATCAAAGGTGCAAGCTGTTGTAGAATGACGAACTCCAAAGAAGGTGCCAAAGTTGAGATCCTTTCTTGGTTTCGTTAACTACTATCGGCGCTTCATAGCGGGGTATTCGAAGCGTACGACTCCACTGACGGAGTTGTTGAAGGAGTAGTCTTGGAGGTGGTCTGACAAGTGAAGCTGCATTTCAAGATTTGAAGGCTGCTGTGTTGGAAGAACCGATGCTCAAATTGCCGGACTATGGGGAGCCCTTCGAAGTCCATACAGATGCTTCAGACTTCGCTATTGAATGAGTAATTATGCAGGAGGGTCACCCGGTGGCCAACGAGAGCCGCAAGCTCAACAAGACCGAGCGGCGATATCTGGTGCACGAGAAGAAGATGACAACAGTAGTCCATTGTCTACGAGTTTGGCGACACTACCTTCTCAGATCGCGATTTGTGTTGAGGACAGACAACATCGCTTTGAGCTATTTCCAAACTCAAAAGAAACTCTCCCCAAAGCAAGCATGACGGTAGGACTTCCTGGCTGAGTTTGATATAGCAATAGAGTATAAGCCCGGAAAAACAAATGTCGTGGCCGATGCATTGAACCGGAAAGTGGAGCGAGTGAATGCCATACGATTGGAGGGCAGAGGCCAAGCAAGTCAGTTGCACCCTAACTTCCTTTCCAGGATGGACTGTATACCCTAGGCAGTGACCTTGATGCAACTCATTAAAGAAGGCAAGACACGACGATTTTGGATATAGGCGGGACTCATTTACACAAAAGGAAATTGGGTTTATGTTCCTCGAGTGGACAATTTGAGGCATGAACTCTTAAAAGAGTATCATGATTCCCTTTGGGATGGACATCCAGGTATTTACAGAACCTTGGCTCTTGTGGAGTGACCGAAAATGGGGACTAATGTGGAGGAATATGTTCGAACGTGCCTCACTTGCCAACAAGACAAGGTGGAGTAACAGAAGCCGGTGGGACTTTTGAAGTTATTGCCCGTACCAGAAGGGTCGTGGGAGAGCATTTCCTTAGACTTCACATCAAGCTTGCCGGCAGTAGGGGGACTCGGATCGATACTCGTGGTGGTCGATCAATTTTCAAAGTATGCAACTTTCATTGCTGCACCCCTACACTGTTCAATAGAGGAGGCGGCCAAGCTGATGATGAAGAATGTGGTGAAGTATTGGGGAGTCCCGCACAATATCATCAGTGATCGAGACACTCGGTTCTTGGGACGATTCTGAACCGAGCTATTCAAATTGTTAGGGTTTAAGTTATCCTTCTCCACAAGTCTCCACCCCCAGACGGATGGCCAAACTGAAAGGATAAACTCGCTCCTCAGCACTACGTAAGTGCTAACCAATGAGATTGGGTGAAGCTGTTGGACATAGCCCAATTCTTCTATAACTTGCAACGGAGCTCTGCGTCCAACAAGAGCCCCTTCGAGATCAATACAGGACAATAACCGTCAACTCCTCACACCTTGGCTATTGATTATACTGGGAGTAGTCTGTCAATATATCACTTTGTAAAAGAATGGCACTGAAATACAAATATTGCACGGGCTTACTTGGAGAATGCGACCAAAAGATGAAGAAGTGGGCAGACTTGGGAAGACGGTCGTAGGAGTTCAAAGTCGATGATTTGGTGTTGGTAAAGCTCCAACCAGCATCACTCTAATTCTTTAGGAACAAAGTATATAAAGGATTGGTGCGTAACTATGAAAGGCCCTTCCCAATTATCAATAGGGTGGGCAACGTCTCCTATAAGTTGCAGCTGCTGGCGTGGCTCAAAACTCACAATGTTTTCCACGCCAGCAACTTCAAAGCCTACCACTCAGATCCGCAAGATGCTTCCCGAAGTGTTCCAACTCGGCCACCCCCCACCCCCCCCCCCCCCCCACCCCAGAGCCTCTTATGAAAAGCGAGTTGAAACCATTTTAGCGAATCGCAAGATAAAGCTACCCAATGGTGCTGAACAGACCGAGTACTTGGTGAAGTGGTGAAAGCTTCCCTGAACCGAAGCCAGTTGGGAGCCTGAAGACACCCTACGACAGAAAGAAGCAGTCATCAACAACTACCAATAAGCGTCGACGAGGGCGTCGACAGTTTAAGTGGGGGAGAATGTCACAAACGGTCGTCGCGCACCCGCAACAACTTCGTTCAACGAATCGTTCGTCGCTTTTGCATGCTTGCACCGAGACATGGCAGCATGTTTTGCCTTAGTTTTGTGTGTTTTTGTTTGTAAAAATGCATGTTCGAACAGGTTGCAGCGCTGCAGTGAGATCGCTCACCGCACCGGGCCGAACTGCCCAAAATAGCTCCTTTTTCGTGTGCCACGGCTTGTTTTCTGCAAGCCGCAACTGCACGCGAAATGTCAGCCATCTCAGTACATTGGAACCACTCGGGTGGCATAGGGCTAGATGGGTCTTCGGTATATTGTCGGGCGTTGAAAAATCTTCACAAGTTCGCATGTTAACTTGACGGAAACTTACCTTTGCGCCCGGCACCCGGTGAGCAGTTGTTTGTGGACTTGCAACTGTTCGTTCTACTTTCTAAAGTCCTTGTTTTCCTCCCCCTCTTTTCTCTTATGCACGCAAGGTGCTTGCTGAATTACTTGTAAAGCTTCCATTTCCATGAGACATCGGGACTTGTCCATCGCTCATTTTCGAACTAATCAACTTTCTCTTTTACAAGTCCTTCGGGACCTGAGTGAGGTTGCAAATTGGCTGACCCTTTATGGACGCATATCGGAAGGGTGCGCCACGACTTAGGCAACCCTAGCTAAGTCCGAGAAGTGGGCGTGAGGGTGCTTCGCGACTTAGGCAACGGAAGCTAAGTTCGCGTCATTGCCACAAGGGTACCTCACAACTTAGACAATTCTAGCTAAGTCCGTGACAAAACGAAAGATAAAGTCCAAAAAGCTAAGCTAAAAATTTGTCACGAATGCACGATCCAACTGAAAAGAAAAAAACAGAAACCTCAAAATAAGCAAAATGCTAAATCTTTAATTGTTCTCATTATCAGACACACTCTGTCAACTAATTCTTCAGTTGAATAGGCGGAGGTTATCAACTTCATATCATAATTCTCCATCATGCTCACCAACAAAATGTTCATCCATTTGGCCTTCGATATGGTTCTTAAGACCAAATCCAAATAATGACAAAAACAGCCAACTAGATACAGCATGAATATCCAGTATCATTATCTCTATAATCTACAAATGTATTCTTTGGCGCAAATTTTAGCATAATTAGCAGGAGAGTGACAAAGGGAATTACTTTACAAATGAGTTCTCCCTGGAATCCACCGGCTACAAGCAGCTTATCTTTTACTGCCAATGTGCTAACTTGAGTCTGTGAAAATCCTTCTAATAAACTACCTGGGTGTTTCTGTAGCCAAAAAGACAGATTCATGGATTAATATAACAGCAGAACAATGCTGATATGTGAATCACAAAAATTAAATAATGTGTTTGAATTTTTCCAAAAGTTAACAGAAGAGCATGCACCTCACTAGGTGCTACGTGTCCTGAAACATTCATGATTTCAGACTTTTGACAACTTAATGCTGACCAATGAAGCACAGAATAGTTTGACATCAAGTAGACATCATGCTTTGAGGTTGCCCAAACCAAATTCCTCAGCTGCAAAGGGAATGTTAGAAGAACAGTCAATATTAAACACAGAACCTTTACAATGAAAGCAACCACCATACTGATACAATGCAACCGAAGATACAGGACAAAAGATACAATACAAAACCATTCTTATGAAAATAGCCAACCTACAAATAACCAAAGAAATTAGATGACTACTCCACTATAGAAAAATGTGAACTATGTTTAGTAATGGTTGAAATAATAATAATCTTCAGGTTGAACAAAATTGGAGTGTGTACAAGGTTCTCTAAGGTAAATATTGATTTATTTGCATTTAAATTAATTATTAGAAATGGCAACACAAAGACTGGCTAAAAGAAAATGCAACTGAATACTGGATGCCTTTGGAGAAGTTTGCTTTGCAAGAATTTTCATAATGTTAATAAAAAATAAACTCTTTCCAAAAAAATAGTTCAGAAATACTAGTTAATTACATGTTATTTATTATGAAATGTAACCATACACTTGACCGAGCTTTGTCATACATTATATTATATAGTTGCAATATCTTCCTATTGTCATATGTTATACCAAATCCTATTATTTCAAGATTTGGCATATCAGTATATCTGTATAATATCAATAGGCATCCATATTATATATTTAACAACTAAGTTAAGGGCCTATGTCTTTGATTGGGTTTAAGTTGACCTCTAACACAGCCCATCCTGCTTGAGTTGCAGCTCTAACCTGTAACCATCTATGGGACAAACCACATTCTAAACATGTTATATAAACTGTGTAGCAACATTTACCCAAACTGTGTTCCGTAATTGTCTATTTCTTCATCAGCTTTGTTTTGTTATCTTCTATATTTTTCTTATTTTGGATTTTTCTGTTGTATTTTCCAGAGTTCATATTCTTAAAAATATTTTTTGCCACAATTCCGTTATGGTTCTGCAATCCCACCAAACCATCCAAACTTTCCAAACATAACCCTAAATTTCAATAATGATCAAAATCTGATCCAGCAAACTTGGAGTACATCAAAAAATTGCAGAACATGCAATTCCCACATAAATGACTCAAAAAATGTTAACGAGACTAGAAGGATTGAGAAACAATAGTCACTCTGATTTCTTATTGAATGGCATGTTTAACTACACAATGTATGTAATCGGAACATACATTCGCTTAGTTATCCTTATTTTTCTTCCAAGATCTCTTTCCAGTTTCTTTCTACACTAGAAATCTTAAATGGCTTTAAATTAGTACCTTTGTTTACATTGCTAATGTATCATATTGTGCAATAGCCAAACCTGTAACCCACCAAAATCTGATTCATGATAATGTATCAATCATATACTTCACTCATATGAGTATCCACTTTGAGCAAACGTCGATACAAAAAACCCATATTCACAACTGCAGATTAAATGTGTGGCCATATATAGTTTTTAACGCCTGCAGCTGATCCATTTTTGCCCTCTCTGTTGTTACCAGTTGCAATCACCCAAGTCAGATGTAAAAAATGATATGATCTTTTCTACCTACATCTTATCTCTTGCTTTATGTTACAGAAGCAGAAATCTGTAAGTACCACCAAGATATATCCAAAATTGATCTAATTGGGCTCTCCTTTGTGGTGTGATCTCCGAATAGCAATGGATTATATAGTGCCAATAAAATTGTTGAGCTTTATTACATCAATGTCAAAAGCTCAAACCTGAGTACATCTTGATAGTATTAACATGACAGCAATATGATATAATAAGTCTACAACTCAACTCTAGCAAACATCTGTAACTGGTCACCTGAAAATGAAGGATAGTTGATTTGACAGCTCTTGTATTTCGCCAGAATTCATAATACATGCCTCCCTTCTCAGTTGGTTTACATTCCTACACAGGAAAGTAACATGTAGAAAACTTAACAAGAAGAAAAATCAAATTTAAGTAACTGAGCTGTACATTGCCAAAGCATCATGCCTTCTCTGATGCTTCTCCAGAATTTTGAACATTTTCATAATTCTTGTATTGTTCTAATCTGGTCTGTCTGTACTGTTTCCTAGTGATGCTCAGACTGTGCCATGGAATTCCTTGGATATCCTTTCCTTTCCTTGCTTGGGCCGATGTAGTATCAGTTACCCTATAATTCTGAGAAAAAAAAAGGAAAAAACAAGAACTTTTTCTTTGTCAGAGTCTATCAAAAAGATGAAGAAAAAGTTAACAGTGACCATATGACTCTGCAGCATAAAAGAAGTACAACTGTAGATGGTAGTAGAATAAATTGCTTAACGCACCCAAATGAAAGATCAACATACAAAAAGCTGTTGAACTAGATAAACATACAGATTGGCCATATTCTTCATCCTCGGAATCTGAATCACCCATCCCTCTTCCACGGAGTTCTTCATCCATGTCATCCTCTCCATCACCCATTTCATAAGCGTCTGCCATTTCATCAACATCCTCATGATACCGAGACATTTTCCAATTGCAGAAGCCTAAACCTCTGTGGTACAGAATAAGTTAACTAACTCAGCAATAAAAAACCATATTAATGCAGAAAAGTCAAGCAACACAACAGAAAGAAGTTCCATGGCCCTATGAGAGCTTCAATATCCAAGAGAAAGAAGCTTAGAACTATAATGTTCTAGTTCTGGTGCTTTCGGCTAGTTGAAAAGGAATTGCAATATAGGAGGGAAAGTGTCAAAGTACGCACAATTTCCCAAAGTTCCTAAGCTGATTTATTTACAATTAGTTATACTGTAAATATATACACCAGTGTGATGATAAACAACAGAAAAATACACATAATTAACACTTATTGGAAGCCTCTCTCAAATATTAGCCAAATGTTGGGCAATGCACTCAACAGAGTACCTTGCACATTCAATCATTTATTTTTTTGGAAACACCAAATCTAAAAAAGCAAACATGATTTAGAAGAACTGAACAAGAGAAGCTCCAAAAAAATGTTCATCACAACAGAAGAAAAAAATATCCTACCCACAAATCAAAAGAAGAAAAAACAACAGAAATTCACCAACACTAAGGGCCTAAAGCTTTCAAGAAACAACAAGATAAACAAAATGAACAATCATACAACAGCATCCAATGCAAGCAAAACCAAGGAAAAGCCAAAGGCACGAAGATAAAGGATCGTACAGTTATTGGCACAAGCAAACCTATCTAAATTAAGCAATAAACATTTTACCCGTCAATAGCAGAATGTGCCACTTGTTGGTTTAAAATTATTGCACTCGTTCTGCATAACCAGCAAATCGATGGCTATATACGCCTATTCTGCAGATCTATTCAGGAAAAGCTTCAAAATTTACTAGGGTTAAAAAAAAAGTTTCTAACCATCATCCTACATCAAGATTGTAACCCAATCATGTCTACAAATAAATGAACACGGGTAAACTTCCACAGACAAACACCAAAAGAGAAATTATCAGTTTCCCATAGGAAAACATCAACCAAAACAAAAAGGAGGACACTTTCAATCAAAAGGCATCAGACCACTTGGCTGTAAGCAAACGCCCGAGGCGGATTGGGCTGATGCAGGATTCCCCCGATCCCGGGCTTAGATCTCGTGCCGATCGCATAAATCTCACGAGAACGAGAGCAAAAGAGAAAAGAAAGACCGGATGTTTCGTCGGCGCGCACCTCTTCCAGGAATCAACAGCCTCAGATCTCGGTGGAGGCGACGATCCGCATCAACCCCGGTCGGAATCCGAAGAACCGCAACGTCTTCCGACACGGAAATCCTATTCTAGAGTTTGAGTGGGTTTTTTTCCCCTATTATTTTCTTTTTACTTAAATACTTTTTTATTACTCTTCAAAGCGACGTCTCTCTCTCTCTCTCTCTCTCTCTCTCTCTCTCTCTCTCTCTCTCTACGTCGTACGTACGTACGTACGTACGTAACGTACGTACGTACGTACGTACGTACGTACGTACGTACCGTACCGTACCTACC